TATAAAAATGGATATTTCTTTCAACGACAGCAAAGCAAATGAACAATTTTAAGACGATACCAATAACTCCTCAAGCCCAAACATTGACGAGAGCCTGATTCCACCGCGTCTTAACACAAATAAAGCCTTATTTTTGCTTTTAAAACATGCAGCGTCTGTCGGAAAATGATTGACAGTGAGCATTGGGGATGTATCAGGCTTTAAATACACGATGAGATGTGACTCAAAGGCGCATTACGAATGAAAGACCTGGAAGTGGTAGACTTCGGATCACAACGCAGAGACAAGACCTACTCATCCACCGCGCTCACCTTCAGATTGCGTCCTTCATCACTGTGGCACGTACGTAATGTCCCTGGATAAAGACCAATCTCAGAGAGAACTGACCAGACACAAACGTTAGATGAACTTGGGCAATAGATAGAAAGAATATAACAGCAGATTCCGTCACCAATTGGTCGCTTTTTAAGCAAAAGGGGACTTTCCCGAAAAATGCTGTTTGCAGAAAATCGAAGGAAAAGTTTTTGTCCCTTGTTCAGTTTCTTTAAAAGACAAGGAGAGTTTTCTCTATAACCAAACACATATACACACCTATGAAACCAACCTTCTCCTATAGGTAGGCCAATGCACACTTTTGGTGTAGGTCAAGATTTCTGGAAACCCCCGAAATCTGTGTTAGCCCGCTTGTCCTTAAAAGCGACCACTTTATCCAACAACTTACCTTTTCCAGGCGTCGACGGTGTCAGTCAGTCATTTGTGTAGCATGCAGTGGACATACACGGTACTGATTTTGCAGATTCGGAAATTAGGGGGCTCAATTTTTGGTGGATACGTTTGTGCAAAAATGAATACTCTATCGCAAAATACTTATCCTATTGAATTTTCCCCTGATGTGTGTATCATCTATAAAAGAGATGGATTTTTAAAGGAAAATTGGTTTTGCAAGTACAATATTTGATTCATGAAAACTGATTAGGTATTAATGTAGCTATAAATATTATGTGACACTTTTCAAAATAATGTACAAGACATCTGACGTGCCATGCATTATTATAAGCGACATTACAAACGCAACACTTCGTTCGCAGAGCCTATACATGTTTGTATCAAATGAAGATAGATTTTAAAAGAAGTTGGTTTTTTTAAAAGTTTATTCTTTTTCCAACAAATGTGGACCATTCTTATCACATACTTCTCAAATGATTTTAATACTTTGTTTTCCCTCTTTCGGAGTACCGCTTCTAGACAAATTTGCAGATAGGCACAAATCGAAACTTAATAAAGATCTTGCACTCTTAGTAAACTGCATTGCCATCATTAACTTGTATAAAGACCAAAAGATGTCTTGTCATGGATTTTATAATATTTTGAATGTTTTGTTGAGAAATTCTGACCCACTTTAGCGGCAGCGTGACCTCCAATTACAGCAGATTCGCAAAACGGCCTCTTGCACGCACTTTGCGGTTCAGTTTATCCCTCATGCAGAGAATACGGATCTGTTGTCGCGCATTCGTTAATAGGAGATCTTAATAAGACGTTCTTGTTCCAGATCTTGGATAACTGCTCGGCGGCTCATATTGATGGAAGAAGCGTTTTCACGCACTCCTTGTATGGCTTGAGCTGTTACTTTTGAAAGAAGGAAACGATTTCGCAGATGTGGCAGCAAAATCTGTCTGTCTTGAGTAAGGCAGGTCACTCTAGGCTGGCCTATTTTTTTGCCTCTCCCGGAAATTGCAAGTATATTAAATAATTCTTTGGATACCTCGAGAAACAATACACGCACTGGATTTTAGCCGTCTTGATGTTTCTCGGGCAGATTTTCTCGCCTTGAACTAGGCGGAGGCAAAACTTGCGGTCAGCTTCGCTAAGTTGAGGCATCTTGTAATGAAAATGAAAGGAAAATCAAAACTGAGCGGAAAAATGTCCGGACTTTTGTTTGGAAAGAGTCACTTGTCATCTTCTAGGTGTATTAAATTACATGTATGTACACCAAAGAACGCGTCACGGTGCTGTAATGAAAAGTATTCGTGGAAATGTAACAAAAACTTGCATGGGCGTGTGAACTAACAACTACTCACCTCTTTCTAAAAAAATCGTGGCGATCAGAGCTTAATGGGCTTACTTACAGCCTTTTAAAAACGTTGGGTGTAATGGGTTCAGCATATTATGTGTGTGTGTATGTGTGTGTGTATGTGTGTGTGTGTGTGTGTGTGTGTGTGTGTGTGTGTGCGCGTGTGTAAGTGGTGGAATCAAGTGCTCGTCAATTTTGGGAATATTATGGAGAAACTGTTATCATGTTAAAGCTTTTCTTGAACTTGGAGAAGAGAAAGACGTATAATTGTTTGATCTATTTTGCATAGAATAGGGAGTATTTGTCGGGGGGTGGGGTGGTGGTGGAGTATTTTTGTTACAAATGTAATTAGCGACAAAATGACTGACGATATCTGGTGACTTCTAAAGCTGAAAACTGACATCAGTTCTACAAGCTAATACATTTTTGCTGTTAAACAACATTTTTTCCAGAAAAATTCACCCTAAAACGTGTTATAATAGGTGTAGATGTTTTTTGTGGAAACCAAAAAAGCGAAAATCCCACGAAAAAAGCTCCCTAAAAAAAGAAACAACAACAAAAAACAACAACCCAGAACAGAGTTCGCCCAAGAATTGGATAAATACTGATTTCTATGTTCCCCCCAAAAATTAACGAACGCCAAATTATTCCGTGATGTTTGTTTTATTTCAATCAGTGTCGCAATGTGAAAAGGGAGTTTTTCTACTGCCAGATGGAAGGCTTGGGTCTAGGGACGCCGTGACACGTCCGTATTTCCCTAACTCCATCCATGAATGTCTTCCTAGTTCGCCCTTTAGTTTTGTTGCCTTTGGATTTGTTGGCAGTCATGTAAGAAACTCGTACCATCTGATTCTTTAGTGTTGGATGTGATGCGTCTTGTCATTTTGTGCGTACCACTTTTTTCTGATCACTGTTTTGTTGCTGTTGTTGTTGTTTTTTTAAATCTTGTCTTGCCTGGTCTTGTTTTTTGTTTACCTAAGACATCGCAATCTGCATTTTAAAAAACGCTTTACTCTATTGTTTTATTCACTAACATGGTCAGGCTTGGCATTCATACACAAGTGCTCGGATAAAAATACTGTTGATCAATTTGGCCCTTGTCTTCAAGGGGATAGGTTTTTTTTTGTAGTGGAGAAAGCTAGTACTATACCTTTTTGTACACTTGTTTCTATTTCTCTATTCATTCGAGTGACTTTGGTAGCCTCGTGGTTAGGCTACCGGACTCGTAATCGTGAGATTGTGAGTTCGGGGGTTCGAGCCTCAGCTCAGTCCAACGTTGTGTCCTTAGGAAAGGCACATTACACGAATTCCCCATTTGGCTCGGTCCTTTTGGAGATGGACGTTAAACTCGGAGGTCCAGCATCTTAAATTACTTAATACTGTTGATAGGGGCGTTACAGACATCCTTTATCTTCAATATTCTTCTGACGGGAAAATGAGTATAAAATTAAATAATCTGGCTCATGGAACAAGCTCCGAAATAATCAAGAGGCTACGATGCAACAGTCACTGAAGAACCCACCAGATTGTACTACGAGCCTCTGAAGAACAAGGAAAGCAAATTCAATCTACTGCAGCAGTTAAAAGAAGTACAAATTAAACGTACTGCTCTGAGACCGTTGGCCTTTTTATGATAATTCCTATTACAGAAGAGATGCTGAGAAGACACCTCACCAAGAGTTTACTTTACTGTCTTTACTCCATTATCATGCAAATTGCACCCTACCCAACGTGTGTTTGTGTTTTGTGTCTGCTTGTGTGTGTGTGCGTGTGTGTGAATTTATGCATGTGTGTGTTTGTGTGTATATGTGTGTATGTGTTTGTGTGTATGTGTGTGTGTGTGTGTGTGTGTGTGTGTGTGTGTTTGTGTGTGACTTTTCAAATCTTTGCCTGGTGCTAACGTTCTCCCATGTGCATGTACTGTATTCATTATTTTGCCATTTTTGACAAATAACTAAACTTTTTGTTTTTAATTTCAACCTACGATGCTCAATGAGTTTGTATATGAAATGTGCATATTAGAAAAAGCACTGTTGCTCATGGACATGCATCATCCAGCCTTTTAATTTTGACAAAGACCAATAAATACTGGTATTTCTATTGAGTGGAAACCACGAGAGTGCAAATTATAACGTTTTAATAACGAACCGACAAAGAATCGAACCCTAACCTCCCTGATCTCACTAAGGTGTCCTGACCACCACCTACCCAGGTCGGTCCCTCTGTCGTACGGAAATATTGTCGTTTACGAGTTTGCATCTTACATACATTTTGCCGTGATCAAGCCTCGTAACCGATATAGTCGTCGCTTACGAGGTCTGATCACAACCTCGGAAGTGTAATCTTTCCTCGTAAGCGTCATAACAAACGAAAAACAACTTTCGTTTTTTAAAAGTAACTAACCCCTATTTAGATACCCTATTTTGAGTAGTTTTATGGGGGGAAATGCAAAGGTTTGACAACGTCGTTTCAATTAAAATAAATCAGTTTTTTTTCCATCTCCTGAAAAATTATCTCTCTGGCGCTTATGAGGTCTGATCTCGGGACATCTATCTATCTATCTATCTATCTATCTATCTATCTATCTATCTATCTATCTTTCTCTCTCTCTCTCTGTCTCTCTCTCTGTCT